GAAGCGTAATTCGTTCAATTTAACCATCGCTTAACCGCGCTCCGAATCTTCGACACGTTGTTGTTTTTGATCCGGTGTGAGCAAACGCGGCATTCACTTCGAAAGCAATTTACACATGCTGAAATTTTTGTGTAAAATTGTAAACACGCTACCTTCTGATATCTTTAAGGGGGTCAGCTATCTCACGCAATTTCACTATACGGTCTTTCAAAACTATTTTGTGTACTTGTTTTATGTTTTTCGGAACAACTGCCGATTTTGGGCGACCAGAGCGTTCGGCATCATCGGTGTTTGTACGACCGCGTTTAATTTTAGCATACCAGTCGATAATATTTGATTTCCCTGGTGCAGAGTCTTCGTAACGCTTATTAAGCCACTGTTTGACTTCAACAGTATCCTTCCCTATCAAAAAACAATGTTTAATCGATACACGAAATTCTTTTCTAATCATTGTTTTGAAAATGACAAAACTGGGGTCGCTAAAACCACTGTAACCTATAAACTAATCATCGAAATGTCATGAAATTTTGACATGTATCGTTCGAAGGATGCTACTATCCAGAAATCATATAGGTTTATCAACAGTATTGCCATATATGTGTCAAACCGGAGACTTATTGAGTGACGTGTTACATGAACTGCCCAAGACTCTGAGACGGAATTCGATCGTTTTCATAATATTGCGCGGACGGAGGTGGTCGCTCGCCATTACGACGTACTAATAAATACCAGGATCGCGAGCCTTTTTCAGGGCTGTTGATGCCTGTTCGCGGCACTTCGCACGCGCAAGGCATTGCGGTTCCGTATTAGATGCGCGGCATTCCTATCTCATCCCGCGAGCAGGCACGCGACGATAAAAACTCCACTTGCTGCGAATGCCAGTGGCACGGAAGCATTCCTCTCTCATTGTTCCACTCCTTGATTCGTCAGGTTTTTAGTGCCGGCGATGTAGATGTCAAACGTTTTACACCGCGGCTTTATACTCGCGCTTACCGTCCCTCGTCTTCTTTTTATATCCTCCACCGCGCGCGAGGAAACGCCGCGAAACTCTGTCGATTAGAGTACCCGATATCTTCGAGCAAGCGGTTTTTCTTATCAGGAGATTGTTTCTGATCTTCTGGAAGCTTGTTGAAGTGTCAGCGAGACTTTGGCGACACGGTCGTTCGAATCTTGTAGTGCCTACAGAGCTGTTGAAGTTTCGGCCAAGTTTAAGCAGAAGTTTCTGAAGATTTCCAGCCCCTGGATGGCGAAGATTGCAGTCCTCGACACTTCTCGATGTTCTCCTCGAGCTTTTTAGAATTTATCAATTCCGCGTTTGTAAGTTGAATGCAAAGATCTTGACTGGTGTCTGGACTCATTTCTATTTTTAGTTTTACTTTCCAAAATCACTGCTAATAAGTGTAAGGGTTGGAAAAATCATCTGAAGATATATGAAACACAAGAATCAATAGTTTGTCTAAATTGATTCATTTCGAGTGCCTCGATTGTTCAAATGGTTATTTAAACAGGTATAAATGTTCGTAATGTTACAAAAACAACGGAATGATATCGTACAAGAATTATATCTGCGACTTTCACAATTCAAAGTTGTTCGAGGCTACGAATTTTTGCTAAATCTGCAAGAAATGAACAAATACTAAATTCTCTCAATAACTCGAACATGTCAAAAACAACGTAAGTCTATTCTCAGATTCTTCTGACATCTTCATAGTCTCGTGTTTTATTAATTTCCGCGATAAATGCACAAAAAGTTGTTCGAATAGGCTACGAATTTTTGCTAAATCTGCAAGAAATGAACAAATACTAAATTCTCTCAATAACTCGAACATGTCAAAAACAACGTAAGTCTATTCTCAGATTCTTCTGACATCTTCATAGTCTCGTGTTTTATTAATTTCCGCGATAAATGCACAAAAAGTTGTTCGAATAGGCTACGAATTTTTGCTAAATCTGCAAGAAATGAACAAATACTAAATTCTCTCAATAACTCGAACATGTCAAAAACAACGTAAGTCTATTCTCAGATTCTTCTGACATCTTCATAGTCTCGTGTTTTATTAATTTCCGCGATAAATGCATAAAATCCGCGGTCCGGTGATCGATACTCTAAATAATTAACTAGATGTCGTTTTGACGGGCTGATACCGCGACCTCTGAGCGTCCACGCGACCAAGGGATGCGGCTGTCAACCCTCCGCCCCGTTCTCTGTCTTCGTTCGCCCCTTTTTCCGTCGTGCCGCGGCGAAGCCTCGAAACGCCACAGGTGGCGTGGCCGCGTTTTCCGTTCGCGTCTCATCAACGTCAGCCACTTTCCGTATTACCGAATAGATTATTTACGAGTTAATAATGCGCCGGCAACCACCCTCGCCACCCACGCAGCCGATTGTCCCCGTGATACGGCGGCGACACACGTGGCGGCGAAGTAACCGGGGGGTGGCCGCCTTTAAAACGGCCGCGGTTTATCGTCGATCCCGGAGCCCGGTGAGTTTTATATGCACCCCTCGGTTTCAGTAATTTTAAGGGTAGACGCGCGTGTTCCGAACAATAAAACCCCTTTCTCGACCGTGCACTGCGCGGACGCCTGTAGGTTCTGTCGCCCGCGGAATATCGCCGGTTATGACGCCGTCGTTCATAAACTTTATTAGACTGCCAACGGTGATAATGTTATGCACTGTCTCCGTTGCTTTTTATTATGCTAATTTGTTGCGGAGACGTCGGGAACAGCGTCCGTCGCGTCGCTTCGTTCGATAAGCGAGCTGGTTCGATGGCTCGCGGAAAGTTCGAGTTTAGGCTGCAGATGAGATTAGATCTTCTAACTTTAATCCGCAGGCGCATCGAAATTTATTGCATCTTCCTGGCTGCAGTCTCGGCTGTAAGCAAAACCTGTTCAAGAATACATTCGAAAATGTGTCGAACGTGTTAAAACAATCGTGCGAAGGTGAACGAAATATGTTAAAACGTTCGTTCGAAGTTAAACGAGACGTGCTACGTGAGCTGTATGAAACTAAATGAGTTATGTCGATGAAAAACCACGTAAACGTGAACGAGATTAAAACACGTTGATATTTCTACAAGTGCAGGTACACGCAGAACAGCGAATTAAATCACGAAATTTCGCTTAATAACTTGCACCTTGATTAGGAGGATAGGTCCTCGAAATAGCAGGCTTGATTAAGTCATTACATTAGATTGAGCTATTTACATGTAAAACGTACTTGTACAACAAGATCTGCAAAATACAAGAAAACATAAATTCATCTGAAACTAAGAAGCGTATTCATGTTTCACTCGTACAAGAAGAATTCTTTCAATTAACCTAGAAAATTCGTTTCGAAGTCAGAGTTGTATGAAAAGCCTATCTAAAGAGGTCGAGACAGTTCATCGACGACTGCGACCGATCTTTTAACCCTTAGCGCACCACGCGTTTCTCGAGTAACTACCTAGCAGCAACTCCGGCACATTTTTGGAGCAAAGCGCGTGAGATAAAGGAAGTCTTATTTCGAGCGGAAAAGATTACACGTCCTTGTGAAAGCGTTTGATTTTATTCATTTTATGTTGCTAAGTATAAAAATGGGCAAAAAATGTTTTAATCATAATGGTACACACGCTAAGCATGTTTTCGCTACAAATAACAATTGCTAACGTCGACAAAAACATAGTATCTTCGGAACAAATGACGGATGTCTCCATAGCGGAGCCAACGGAGCGCTAAGGGTTAGAGTTCCAGGAACGAGCTTGCGGCTCGACACCCTGTTACCAGGAAAACTGGCGCACAAGTCGTGATCAAGTCGTATTAACGTGTCTCTTTTGTTTCGGTTCCAGGAGAGAAGCCGTACAAGTGCAGCTGGGAGGGTTGCGAGTGGCGATTCGCGCGTTCCGACGAGCTGACGCGCCACTATCGCAAGCATACCGGTGCGAAGCCGTTCAAGTGCCGGCACTGCGACCGATGCTTCTCCCGCAGCGATCATCTGGCTCTCCACATGAAGAGACACGTGTAATCGATCGTCTCCGCGAGCGGTCGTTCACGCGGCGAGAGCGGTCCAGGACCGATAGCTCCTAGTTGCCCGAGGACTCCCGAAGACAGTGACCAGCAACAGCAGCAGCAGCAGCAGCAGCAGCAGCAGCAGCAGCAGCGGCGGCGGCAGAAGCAGCGGCAGAAGCAGCAGCGACAGTAGCAGACGCAGCAGAAGCAGCAGCGGCAGCCGCAGCAGGCTCCTCGTGATCGCGTTTCTTCCACGGATCCCCGACGATCCAGCCGGCGTCGATCGACCTCGAGATGGTCGTCGGGGTATCGCTCTCGGCGCCCAACGAGTTAGCGTCTCCACGAAAAGAAAGAGTAGAGAAATCGATGATCCGCGAGGCGACCGGAAGTCGTCCCTAGGGGCCATAGCGTTCGACCACCTCCCCCGAAAACCACCTGACCCGAAACATTGCGATGGGAAATCGCTGGCTACCCAAGCTCCCCGCCTTCGTCTCGCAGCTGGGAAACCAACTTTCCTCGGCTTGACGAGGCGTCGACGGTGCTTCGCGCGTTTCACACAGCGGCCAAGAGGACATCAGGCGTGTCGGTAGAGACCGTGGTCGATGAGAGTCTCGTCCGGAACTTCAATCACTGCCAATTCATTAAATTCTAAGATCAACGCTACGAGACCGTCGGCGACCGCTGCGAGCGAGGGTGGCGGAGGTCAACAACGAAAACCGGGTCTCGCGCGACACCCTAATCAGCCGTCTGCCTCCCGCGAAACTGTCGAATCGGCGTGGTCGGAGAGCGTGGAAGTCGGAATTCTCGCGACGCAACGGTCCCCTCCAGAGGCATCCCGGTTCACGAGGACAATAAACGCTGTCTATCGGTGCCAAACGTTATTTCCTGCCTCCTGATTTTTCCTCCCGCACCCTCTCTCGGAACGGAAACGCGCGCGCGCGCGACATCTCTTCCTCTCTCTCTCTCTCTCTCTCTCTCTCTCTCTTTTTTCCCCGGAAAAGACCGAGGGACGCTGCTCGAGGACGCGCGCCCCCGAGCTTCGATCCTTCGCAATAATCGAAATTGCACTCGCGAAGGGACCGAGCAAAATGGCGAGAGCCAAGGGCGGCCGGGGAGCCACGAGGGCGGAGGAGCGGCGCGAGGCGTAATTGAATACGTGATTTCGGCCAGTTTCCGCGAGAGCAAAGTTTACCGTGCCGCGCGCTAATCCCGAATTTACCGTGCGAATTATATATCGCGGGCCCTCCGCTTCTCGAGCACCCTCGCCAACCCCCTTTCGCGTGCCCCTCTCCGTCGGACGACCGTTTCGCCGGCGTAAACGACGGTGAAAACGGAAGCCGCATTATTTCGCCGATTCGACCGTGTTCCGCCATCGACGTACTCGCGAGAGCGATTTTTCGAGGGATCTCCGGATCGGATCTCGGATCCCATCGACCCGGATAAACGAGACGAATAAAGAGGATAAACATGGGGCTTGTTTCGTAGTGGCGCGCGTCCTATGGTTTTTAAACGAATAAACGATAATGAAAAAAAATATGCAAAAATATATACGGAATCTGACTTTGTACTTTTGTACGATTGCTTTGTTAGGCGACGTTCTCCTGTTGGTTTTCGCGGCGACACAATACAGACACACACACGTAAACGTTTAACATACATATTGTATATGTATACATAGATATGCGACTGCGCCGAGCGGGGGCGGCGGAGAGCGGGGGACGGGATTCTCGTCGGAGGCTCAACAGAAATAAATGAAATATATATATATATTTTTTAATATTCTCGTCTTACTCACCGAAACAATATATATATTATTACATAAGGGACAAAATAAACGGGCAACATTCCGCACAAAGCTCTAGAACCGTTTCCACGCGTCGGACCCAAACCCCTCGGGTTGCACTGCCCCCTCTAGGCGCTCGCGAAACCCCGGAGGCAGCACGGCACAACAACGGAAAACAGGGGAGAGTCGAAGACTTCCGGTTGTCGAGGATCAAAACTATACCTATACCTATACCATCTCGTGGATCATCGATTCGGCGAATCGCGTGACGGATCTCGGCGGGGCGGGGCGGGGCGGGGGAGGGGGCGGGATCGCGAACCCGGAAATCGGAAAAATAGCGGATCGCTCGTGCGACGGGGCAGAGAGGGAGGTGAACAAAGTAGAGTAGTAATTATTCTTTAGTAATAATGACCGACGAGCGAGTGTCGTCGGAGCGACACGAGTCGCTCGCACGAGAGAGACTAAAAAGTATAGCGGCCCCGGCTGAGAGGCGGGGCCCGCGCGAGCAAATGAATAAAAACAAACAGACAAACACACGCAACAACAACAAAAGAAAAAAAAACGAAGAGTAAAGGGAAAAAAAACTAAATTTTAAATGTTCAGTGGCCAAATAAATTAACTGATAACGCACGTAGAACGTAACGATACCGTACCTACTTGTAAGTAAGCCTGACTGACGTGTGCGTGCATGTGTGTTTGCGTGCGTGCGTGCGTGCGTGCGTGCGTGTGTGAGACGTTGTGCGACAGAGAGAAAGTAATAGCGAGTGTGCATCGCGTCGTGAGCGTGCCTGCTGCGTCGTGGTCGCGCGTGCATGCGAGAGTGTTCTTCTTCTATTACCATGTTTCTTTCTCCCGTTTAGTTTATGGATTCTAGTTCTCTGTTCTTTTCTTTTTGCCATCATTTCTGATTCTTTCTTTCGCGAGAAAATGTGTTCCAAAACGTCGATTAGCGAGGGAGGGGTGGGGGGAGCGGATCGGGGGTTGAGAGAAGAGAGACACACGAGGGGGAGCTGATGAGTTTGTATATTGTGCAATTTCTATCGGTGTTTCATTATTTGTTACCATGTTCATGAATAATTACGAATAAAGTAAATATATATACATATATATATATATATATATATATATATATATATATATATATATATATGTATATATAAATATAAATATATGCAGCATTTACAAGATCTAGGATAAAAGGACCGCGGTGAGAGTGCGATAATGTGTGCGAGTGCGACGTCGGATGTCTTTTTGATAGCCATATATTGCGAGGCGTCGTGCGCCGACGAGGCTCACGGCTCCGACCATACTTTTTTCTCTATATTTTTTCTTTCCATTGTCCGTGGTGGGCGGGAGGAAACGCGAACGTGAAACGTGGCTCGTGGGCGGGGAGCGCGAGGACCTCTCGCGCGTTCAAATATTCCCGTCGTTTCGACTGTCTTGCAATTTCGAAACGTCTTTCTGTGAAAAATTTCCATTTTTCAAATTTAATTCGTCGAGTTTCAAGCACGACGTACATTTCTGGGCGATTCAATTCCATGGTGACCACCGAACGCCGTCTCGATCCGAAGCGATTAATTCGGTCATAGATATTGCTAAGGGTCGCGAGCAACGAACCACGCCTCCTCAGGGCACTCTGACGTCATCCGGTCAGCACTTCCACCTTTGCCGACAGTCCAGAGCACTTGTTGCCCTCGTCTGAGATTTAATTTACGAGATTAATTTATTTTACAAATTATGGCGGAAGTGTCGCGTGCTCGATTCTAGCACAGATTGCCCCGCGAGACATTGTTGCAGTTCCTCGGAGACCGAGAGCAACAAATCCACAGCCCCTCGGAGGACTTTCATGCCATCTGACTCTCGGTCCGGTCTTCGGTTGCTACCCTGGACGCTTTTTACCCATGTCTGGTTCCATTAATGAGACCACGCTCCCTTGATTCGCGTTTTACTTTCATTCGATCCTCGGGATTGCTATTAAAATGCTTCCAGGGTAAACAGTGCTCATCCGAAGCAGATTTAAGTTTCAAGACAAACTCGATGAAAAGAAAATGGCGGGTGGCAGCGAGAGAGGTCCTCGCGGTCCCATCGAGTGTTTCGCGCGTTTCCGTCCCGGCGACCACCGGGAACCCTGTAGATATAATATATATATATATATAAATAAATCTCTATATATATAAATATACATAAATATATTTAACGAACGTTCGAACGAAAAAAAAGGAACGCGAGTGCATTGTTTTAAAAAAAAAACTCGAGCGGCGCGGCGAACGAGACGTGAAATGCGTGAGAGGTGTGCGCACAGGGGAGAGTATGGCACGCGCGTGTAATTAAACAAGGAGAGATAGAGAGAGAGAGAGAGAGAGAGAGAGAGCGGGAGAGAGAAGAGAAAATAACGAGAGACAGTGAGGATGAGAGAGAAAGAAACTGTGAACGGTAACGAAGCGAGAGAGCGGACACCTTAAGAATTAATAAATGGTAGTTAGAAGTTTAGATAGATAGATGGATAGCTAGACCGTTAGATAGACACGTTAGATAGGCAGACAAAATAGATCGACGGAGAGAAAGAGATGGAGAGAGTGCGAGAGAGAGAGAGAGAAACGAATGGAATGAACGAGAGAAAGAAAGAGAAAGAGCGAGAGAGAAAGAGACAACGAGTGAAAGGAAACGATGGGGGAGGGGCCGGTGTTAAAAAGAGTTATTATATATAAAAGAAAAAAAAGTCTATAAATATAGATAGGTGGATATACATAGATAGAGGTGTAAGTACCTAAGAAGAAACTCTAAGGAACCTTTTAGAAGAAGCTGTATCGTTGTACGAGGTAACGATAAGTGGACATAAGTGTTTTATGATACTCGCGTACAATAAGAAAGCCGCGATACGGGATTTAAGATTACCGGGAGAAACGAGAAACGAAAGGTGAGGAAGAAGATAAGCAAGGGGAAAGCTGGGGACAGAGAGACGATCGTATACATAGGGGATTAGGGGGTTTGGGCGAGGAGAGAGAGAGAGAGAAGACGATCTGGGAGGAGAGACAGAGAGGACGCGGATAAAACACGGACACACAGACGCAGCACGATTGTAATTGTATTATTGTGGTCTAAGGTATTTTCAGTCATGTTGTATAGTAACTGTAAATTACAGGACTTTAAGTCGAAGCGCGGAAGCCGTGCGATAGAAGGAGAGAGAAAGAGAGAGAGAGAGAATGGTCGAGCGAATGCGTGAGAGACAGAGGTATAGAGAAAATGAATGAGAGAGAAAGAGAGTGAGTAAATATGCGGTCGTTGGACTGCGGATGTTTGCGTAGAAGAAAAATGTTTCGCATCGATTACGAGAAACAGAAATCGAATAAAAATTGACGACAACGCGATCGTGTTACCAAATCGTTCCGATATTTTCCTGATTTCGTTCACTCGCTAATTTCTCTGGCGAATGCGCAAAATCTGCAGTCCAGTGGTCGCGCGGAAGACGCAGGCAGGTGAAAAAGAACAGGTATTGGGCAGTGGGAGTAAATTGCGAAACAAGATCGAAACATTTGCGGATTTCGCGAAATTGTACAGAGTTCCGGCAAGAAACTAGATAGCTAGGGAGTCGAGGGGGCAATGAGGGTGTAAGTTTCCTTGTTTCGCGAGAGATAGAGAGGAGGAAGTAAAGAGGGAGAGTCTCTCGCGAGCGTTTAGCAGCCGGTTAGGTCGCGATCGCGCGCTCTTAGCAGCGTCCGAGCTGCGAGCTCGACGAGGAAATTCGTTGCCGATGCCGGTGTTTATTGAATTAGCGGTTAAATTAATGCGGGCTGCCGTCGCCCGCGACGCGAAACTTTCGAGGCCAGTAAAAATAAGTTTCTAGTAGTGGAAAGGGTCGAGGAACGTGCAAGTCGGTTTGCGAAATTATTTCCTCCCTGTAATGTACATTTTCTTGTATACTTGATTGACTCCGTTGAACAGGTGTGAGGCTAATTCCATTCGCCGCTGGCGGAGTCCTGACACGGCCATCGTCTGTCCAATAATCTTGACCATCTTTCAATCTCTAAACTCGTCGTGACATTGGAGGAACGAGAAGCGACGTAACTTGAAATGTTTCACTGCAGGCATCGAAATGGATTGGTTTGCACTGTCTCGTAAAGATTATTAATTAATCTTTACGAATACGTGCGAATACTTTCTTCGCGAATAGCCCTCTCAAGACTTTCTTTACATTGCGAATGAAACGAACGTTTCCGAGGCGTTTCCGGATATTTGGACGACGGTGGTACCTTTCAGGCCGTGTCGGGATCCCGCCGCAATTCGACAGGGAGTTGCGTGATTAGATGAAATTTACTAAATAATGGGAGAAGAACTGACTGTGGGAGGGTCCTATGTGTGATAAGAGACTCGAGCGCGAATGATAACGAGAGAGGGGGTGTGGCGAAGGGCGAACGAAGAACGAGTGAGAGGCACAAGTGAGAGCACAGAGAGAAAGTGAGTGCGAAAGAGAGAAGAAAGAAAGGAAGATAGAGAAAACGAGAGTGAGAGAGAGAGAGAGAGAGAGAGAGAAAGTGAGGGAAGCACAGTGAAAAACAGAGTCAAGAGATTACCTATATTTTTAAAAAGTGACCTTTGGCATTTAAAGACTTGTAAAAATCGTGCAACGAGTTAAGTAAAACAAAGAACAAAACGCAGAATCACGAGGGCGCAGTGTTATTAAGAGGCGTCCGTCCTTCTCCGTGTCTCTATTTCATCTTACACGATGCAGCACATTGTACACCGACACAGAAAACAATACGTAAAACGGTTCGACGGGGGAGGGAAAGACGATGCCAAAAATTGTTCCGAGGAGATTCGCGGACCAGCGAATAATTGTTCGGCGGGTGGAGACGCGGCACACGACACAACGCAGTCGAATCATTCTTTCGACGATCGATACACAGGTCCACGCACCTGAGACAAATTCTAAGCTCGCAAACACGTGAGACAGTTCGACTATTCACAGAAAACACAGCGTCCATTCATACGCGTCTTCGGGAGAGGATCGGAGGGTGGCGAATGGATAATTGCGTGGAATAGGATCCGTCGATCGCGATGACCCTGAGATACGTGGCAGAGGTCAGGGTACTGAGCTGGTTCGATCGACGATATAAGCGATCATGAACTCTGGGTGCGAAGATATACACACATTCTTACAATCTCGAAATTGCGTGCAGTGTTGTTTCTGAAGGGGTACGTCGCAGGTTCGATGAAGAGTTCAAAGATACAATTAGCTACAAAGAGATACATGATAATTGAATGGAGACAAATGTCTTCAATTAAAGCGATAAGATATCGATGCAAATGGTTTCGCGAATGTTTTCAAAATGGAAGTACCTATCTTAACAATGGTTAAAATTTCAAACGACACAAGGTTAGCGATTTCTCCAGCATATTTTTCTGTACATCCCTAAATTACAATTCAACGGAAACCTAGTCTAATCCAGCGACATCTTCGGAGAGCACAGCAAACCGCAACCAAGTCAGCAAACCGCGACAGAAACCTAATCAAACTAAGCTCATCGTTCCAACGTCACAGACGTTAACAAACGTAGTTCGGCGTATATCTTCGT